ATGAAAATACTTACAGACGTGAGTTAGACAGTACCTACCTAATGTAAAAGAATGCAATGTTAGTTTCATTACGCAAAATTATATTTTCAATCGCAAGCCCAAAATAAATGTCATTGTATTGATTGAACTGTATCTACAGTATAACGCTTAAATGTAACTGTTCCATTTCCAGAACCCGAATTCAAATAAATTACTGTTCTAAAGTTGTAGCTAATACTTCTATATATGTATTATATATTATTATATATAGCTCGTTTAGTATAGGTATTGAATATATACATATTCAATTCTTATCAAAAAATATTCTTTATCAGAAAGTATTAATAACAGTATTAATGAACAATAAGGAAAATAAAAAAATAATAACTTACGATCTTTTTAGCACTTTAGACAAAATGAAATTATTTTGTTTCAGATAAACAGTAAAATAAAAATTGAATAACCGATAAAAATCAAATGATTTATTCATGCCACAACCTATAAAAATTCAAAATAATCATTATTTTGTTATCGCTCTAACAAATCTGCAAATTTTAAAACGTCTAAATTCCATGAAAAATCAAACGCCACAAACAACGTCGCATACAAATCTATTATCCGACGTGAATTTATAAGAATTACATCAACAGTAGGGTTATTCACCGAAACAATAGATTGCCCCATCATTGACTAATTGGTTAGAATTCTAAAATACAGATCTCGAAACACTATCGGCGCCTTTCGGATTAATTAATAAATGTTATTTAAATGTAGTGACGTGCTGTCAATTTTGTACGGTCGACTTTTATATCATGGTTGAATAATTTAAAATTTGATAGTTTCATGATGTCCTCACAGCTCACAATTTGCATTCAACGCTACTAAAAAGATTGACAATTGAAAAAGTGTTTCATATTTAATTACCATCAACATTTATCTAAGCATGAATGGATTAACTTTCCAAGTATTAAACAATAATATTTCTAGAACGTCATAACGCGTACCTAATAATACATACTGCAATTTCATTGCAAAACGATCTGACGCGTAAACTATATAGTGGTCAGTTAATATAAAAATGCTTGCACGTAAGTTGTTTGGTTAATTATACAAATGACGAGAGAAATAGGTACATCTTCATGAATAAATTCATGCCACAGTAGCAGTTGTCATCAAAACTTTATTCGATCAAACAAAAAAAAAAAACATTTTGTATATTAGACAAGTTTAATCCTATTTGTTTATGATAATCAGGTAATGTGATATGTTTGAGCAAGTTCCAGTGCATAATTACCATGTTTAGATTGTAACCATTAATTTTTAATATTTCAGTAAAACACCTGCACAACACAGACATTAATTTTAAACAATGTGAAAAGTACCTAATAATAATTGATTACGTAGAATTTAATTTTAACAAATATCAATATTGTCAATATTCACTTAAATTACTCACGATTGGCATTGGATGTGTATATAGATATAATCAAGAATGCGAAACATTTTTCTATGATTCATATCTTTTGTAAGAAATAAAATGTTAGACCAAAAGTCTAAGACTTTCACGGCCGGCGCTAAATGAATAGTGTTCAATATTTGAACTTAACGCCGTGGTGCAGAATTAAAACTCCATCTTTGGTGAGACCACCGATGGAATCGTATACTGACGTAAGTAAATACGCAACGATGAACGTAACAACCTCGCTACATTCCCTAACGATGCCAAGCACAGCTGTTGGCGAAACGTCGGATAGACCACTCTATCGATGTTCTCGCCGAAGGAGGAGAAGCAATGCTAGACCACGACCATCAAGCCCTAACGTCGAGCAATATTCAGTTAATAATGATTGATCATTTGCTCGGGACTGCAATAATTACAGTGGTCGTCCGAAGTGCTGGAATTGCGAAAAAATAGGGCACCTAAGTCGAGGATACCCCTCAAACAAAACACGGCTGTCGGAAAACTAACATCAACCAACTTTATGGGGCGCAGGTTTTTCCTACCCTCACTAAGCCCCCGAAGAAGTCATCATTTCAAAACTGGACGGCACTAACTAACTATTCATAAAATGCTCTATAAATCAGCACAATGACTATCGATACAGGGGCATCCAACGCCATCGTTCGATTTGATGTGGTATCGGAACGGCCAATTAGACCTTTGCCCAGAAGAGAGACTTCACCAATCAATGGAGAATGCAACGTAGAAATTAGAATTGGAAATGTATCTTATATAATTATATTGGTGGCCGACATAACAGATGATGTCATCATTGGATTGCACCTTCTTTAAGAACATAGAATCGATATAAAACCTACCGCTTCTACAATGGGCACCGACGAACAGAAGGTGTAATGTCAAAAATTACAAGACGAAGCTTGTCGCCTACAAATTAATCGTAGAGGAAAATCGAGGACTACCGAGTCACAGTCAAAACAGACGGTGACATTGGCGTTTTCAACACGTCCCTCTCAGATGAAAACTTTAATAGGACCAACTTAACATACAACCGCATCAACACTGGAACAGCAAGACAAGAAAGATGGTTCCACGAGGTTTTGCGTAGATTTCAGAAAGCTGAACGATATAACACAGATGGGCAGTTGCCCATTATCCTGAATCGATGACATTCTAGACAGTGTAGCTAAATGGTTTTTCACTCTAGGCTTGAAAAGAGGATACTAGAAAGTGGATGAACGTCCGAGGTTATTATAATTGGGAAAGTTTAATGTGATGCCTTTTGGATTGTGCAATTCACCGGCTATATTTGAAAGGCTCATAGACACTGCACTATAAGGACTAGAAAATCATATTAGGAAGAATTTTCGACGGTCACCTTTGAAATGTAACTGAGGTCTTCAAGAAATAGGCAGCTGCAAAATTGAAGCTAAGTCCCAAAAACTGTATCCTGTTTATGACCGACCCTGACAAAATGGATGCCTGACGAAGTTTGCCCATACCAAAGTATCGTAACAAACCTAGAAGTTTTTTGAGACTTTGCTCCTACTAGCCAAGATTCATTCGGAGATTTGTCAATATAGCCTGACTACATACGGACTTACAAATAATGGAGTTCCATTCCATTGGACATCAGAATTTGAAAAACAATTTGACAACCTGATGAACATTCCCTTCTGAGGAGCCCCAATCTTGACATGCCCACAGTTTAGCAAACCCTTTATCGTTGATGCCGCCGCTAGCAATGTGGGACTTGGTGGTATGTTACTTCAAGTACAAGACGGAAACGGAAAGATCATTGCGAATTTTAGTAAAACACTCGAAATAAGAACGAAATTATTGTGTCACCCGTTGAGAGCTACTGGCTGAGGATAAAACCCTCGAACTCGAAAGAACAACTTGCACGATGGTTACAACGACTTCACAAATACGACTTCGATATTAAGCATCGCCCAGGCAAACAACACTATCAGCACTATCCCGGAGACTTTGCGTGAAAGATGCAAACTGCGGAGAAGCACTGGCATCGATCTGTTGTAATCTGACCACCGTTCAGCCCGAGGGATCCTGGGAAGATAAAGAATTAATCGAAGACCAGAAGAAAGACGAATATTTTGACCAATAATGAGACAGAAAGAAGGTGGAATCTGAAAAATATCGTGGGCAGTTGTGAGCCACCAAAGCTCAGTGAGCTCAGTGGAGTCCCATTACCTTGTTTACGACCTGTTGAAAAGAATGTGGGAGAGTTCAGACGGAACCAGAAACAAACTTGAAAATGTACTTCCGAAAAACAGAGTTTTAGAAATCTTACAATCAACCCATGGTTAAGGACATTTCGACGTTACGAAGATACTATATAAGGAAAGAACGCGATACATTTTATTGGCTACGAAGTAGAAGCGATGAAGACTACTGCAGGAAATGCCCGACCTGCGCCGCCAGTAGGGGACCGAAAACAGAAAGTCTTGGACGAATGCCGCAGTACAACGTGAGAGCACCATTTGACAGAATCACAGTTTCGCAGTCGACGTAGAAGGACCATTCCCAGTGAATGATTCCGATGGCCGATACATGCTGGTAGACATGGGTGCAAGTGGCCTGAACCATATGCGATAGCGAATCAGGAAACAAACACCGTTGCTGAAAAGCTTATCAATAACTGGATTAGCCGATATGGGAGTATCATTGGAATTGCAGTCGGCTTTGTTCAAGAAGGTCGCTGAACTAACAAAAAGCTATACTACTTCCTAATATCCACAGTCTGATTGAACGTTTTAACGCTACTCTGGAGACGAAAATCGGATGTCACAGTGATTTACCAGGATGGCTTTCCGATTTACGGCGAAATACGGGCACTGACATATTAAAATGGGATACACATACAAAAGTCATTTTGTTTAATATGCCTAATACTGAAAGTATCCAGCGTACCGTTTTTAAGTTTACGCCCGTAAGCAGAAGTTTATCACCTCCATATAGGAGTCTCTCGCCTTAATGACGCTTCAATATTGAATTTTTGCTATTTTATGGTATTAGGACATTGGAAATCTTGGACATTTGATCCAATGAAACTAGACTTAAAAAAGGAAAAAGGAGTTTGCGGATTTTTTTCTATTCTTAATTGAAACCTTCAACAAACAAAAAAATTAATGCAAAACGTACCTCTTTTAATGGAACTTTAAAGGGGAGAAAGCAAGTACCTGTCACTTTGTCTCCAATGGCAGTATAATCTACCCACCTGAAAATAGAAAAAAAGTTACCCTATAAGTGATTTTATTTCTTAACCGTAGTTTTGCTAATCTTATATCAATATTAAACAACTAATATCAACATTATGACCCTATAAGTGATTTTATTTCTTAACCGTAGTTTTGCTAATCTTATATCAATATTAAACAACTAATATCAACATTATGTACTATGCATAACTTTTCTATTATTTACATTTGAAGCATGAAATGACCAAAGAAATAAATAAGTAGACACATACAAAAGTCAAATTTTATACTCTCTCTCAGCTGAGTTATGTTTGATTGGTATACAGCAGCGTAGGCATGAGAATATTTTTTTATTGAATAGTATTAGGTATATTAAACAGCGGTTTTTGATAGTTATCATTGATTTCAGGCTGGTTAATTACAATGGTCTTCGCAATTTGTTCGTCGCTAACATCAGTTTTCTAGCATTGCTTAAATTTTGAGGTTACTAATCCTTTTTTATTTTCTAGTGTATTTACCTAGATATCTTATTATAAGACAAAGAAAACAATATGTAAATAGAATTGAACATATATAATTAATTTTTAATAACTGAGAAAGTGGCCATATTTACGATAGTGTAGTTAAATATGGCCATGTAAAGTGATCACA